CTCCGTGGTCATGTAGCTGACATGACTCAACGCCAAAGGTGCACGGAAAGCTGTTACCTTCCCACCAAAGGCGATTTCTATTTTTCTACTTGCATTTTTACATGCTTTCGAACTGTTTACTGTTTATTAGGATTTGTATGCCGCCCGCTCTCGAGAGACTCAGGGCGGCTTACAGATAAAGGCAGGAAGGGGGAACATATAAAAATTAAAAACAGATATTAAAATTTCACAACATTCATATAGCTTAGAATGGGGCTGGATAAATCAGCAGCCCCAGGCCTGCCGGAACAACCAGGTCTTAATCGCTTTGCGGAAGGCCGGAAGAGTGGTAAGGATCCAGATCTCCACGGGGAGATCGTTCCATAGGGCCGTAGCAGCTACAGAGAAGGCCCTCCTCCGGGGAGTCGCCAGCCGACATTGACCGGCAGATGGACTCTGGAGGAGGCCTAGTCTGTGAGATCTTATAGGTTGGCAAGAGCTGGAGCTCACTCCATCACATGGTGCTAGGGATTCGACCTTAATTGTGATCGACAAGCTCAGCGTCTTAGCCACTGAGCCACCACATCTTTGTATAGCTTTTTATATAAAAAGCAATAATGTTATAATATCATTGTTGACTTGGGTATTGTAAAGGGTGGCATTACTTTACATTAACTCTATTTTTAGATGAGTGATGGTATTAGAAGTTCATCACTCTGTTCCTCTGGGCTCCATTTTATCCATCAACTTATTTAACACACACACACACACACACACACACACACACATACATACATATATATATATGAGCTGAGAACAGGGCACCACAAGAGTTGTCCCTAAAATGCAAATTACACTCTGCTCAAGCTTTTATTTTCATTTAGCCCAAATGAGCCAACAAGTATTTGGAATCAGTCCTCCAGCACAGAACAAGGGTGAATGAGAATTAATTCACTAAAGAATGTTCCTGCCATTTGGCTTGTATGCCCAGCTCGGAGTCCAGCTTGTCGTGAAGGACAGGCTGCACACTAGAACATCAAGTGCGAAAGTTAAATGGTGCCCTTGTTCCTGGATATGTAAATGTCCTCTATGACAAAGTACTTTTTAATCGGTTGATATGCTGACAGTGAGCCCCACCTAGAAAAGGAAGAGCTGGGTTACGGTTTATCATGCGGTGTAATCTCTCTGTTGGATTACTGCAATGGGTTGGAGATAAAAATACTTTTGTTGGAGACTGGGAAGGATTTTAAGTTACTTCAAAACAGATGCACTGGCTTTCAGCCTGTTTCCTATTCAAAGTGCTAGGTTGAATTTAAATGAAATTCCCGCCATATATCTTTGCTGATCAAGTTGCTTCTCTGCTAGGTGCCATGATTATAGAATATTCTTCCAAGGAGACATACAGTAGTAAGAGAGACTTTTACTTCAAAGCACCTGAAGCAATGGATGGAGAATACAAGGAGAGAAGCAACTGAGAACTAAGAAGAAATTTCATGACAGAAGAATTAATCAGTGGAAAAACTTGCCTCCAGAAGTTGTGAATGTTCCAACACTGGATGTTTTTTAAGAAGATGTTGGACAACCTTTGTCTGAAATGTTATAGTGTTTTCTCCCTGAGGAGGGGGTTTGACAAGAAGACCTCCAAGGTCCCTTATTCTATTCTATTCTACTCTATTCTATTGTAATCCTACTCTACTCAACAAGCTGTAATTTGTTAGTTTATCACACTAAGCTTTATACCATGGTTTACAAACCACAATGAATGGGTCCATATAGTACTGCTAAGTCAAAATTAAATAATTTGCATCATGGCTTAGTTCAATGTATAAGCTGGCTCCTATGTTAAAACTTTCATATAAAAGTATGGGTGTCCATCACTGGAGGCTTTTAAGAAGAGATTGGACAGCCACTTGTCCAGAATAATATAGGGTCCACTGCTTGAGCATGGGGTTGGAGTAGAAGACCTCCAAGGTCCCTACCAACTCTGTTCTGTTCTGTGCAGCCTAGTGTGTAATATGTATTCTTGTCCAAATCACTAAAGGCTAAAAAAACCTATTTGTTAAATATAAACTCTGCCTTGTTACATTTAATCTCTGCATAGTATCCATTCAATGTGGATATCTAAAACCTACCATTTGGAATAGAACACAATAAGCCACTTTTGCTACAGAGATTTAACTGAATTTATTCAGTTTTAGCACTGTCCAACTTCCAAGTGACTCTGGGTGGTGCACTTTAATGCTTAAGGGAACAGAAAATACTGTAAAATAATCATAAAAAGAATTTTTTTAAAACAAGAACAATGGCAACTCTGGCTAAAACATGGCCACAAGTAACCTTACCAGAGTCCCAACCATCCTAGGATGTGTGAATGATGTGTGTTTGTGTTTTTATTTTTATAGTTATAATGTACACTGAGAAGGGCATTTAATTTCATTGTACAATGTGCAATGACAATAAACTAAACTAATTTACCGTGTTTTCCCGAAATTAAGACAGGGTCTGATTTTCTTTTGCTCCCCAAAATAAGCACTTGGCCTTATTTTCGGGGAGGTCTTATTATTTTTGAGGTGTAGGAGGTGGCGAGCGTAGTCACCTCATGGCTGCTGCTGTGTTGCAATATTTTCAGGGGAGGGTTTATTTTAGCACATGCGCTCAAAAGCCTGATTGGGCTTATTATCCGGGGAGGTCTTATTTTAAGGGAAACAGGGTAAACTAACCTAAAGCCTGGGAGAACAGACAAGTCTTCAGGATTTCTGAAATATCATCAAGGAGCATTGATATCTTGAGTGCTACATGGATATCAAGAACCTCAATCCACAAGGCTTCCAAAAAGTTGGTGGCCCATGCTTGGAACCCCCTTTTTGTCACATCTCTATTATTCATCTATTCTGCTAGGCCTTTACCACATGCTGTTTGCAGTTCCATTACTTCACAACCCAGCATTAACTATTGTTGAACGATTTGGAGGTAACCCTGAACAAATAGCCAGATTAATGTAATCACTGAGTTGGTGGAAAGCGAATTAAATCCCATCAACTGTGCCCCGAGAATGCTATTTTTCATGGGCCTATTTGAAAAACTCGACTGCTTCACAAGCTGATTTGATTAGAAACGAAAAGTGCAATTTGACCTACATGTGTTGTTATCCATTTGTTCGGAGATCAAGCTAGAAGAAATATGCAAAATCTCTTAAGCTTCAGTAAGATCCTTGGAATTCCCAGATGAAACACGGCAATTAAAATTCCACGCATTCTGCACCCAGTTTAATGGCAGCAATTTTCCCCCCTGTTCCACACTTTGCATCAGCTGTCATTTCTGAAGCTATCTAAGTGCAGGTTAGAATATGAAAAAGAATATTTGTTAAAGCCTTAGGTTTTTAAGTACAAACCCATTACAACGGATCCAGCTAACTGAAAGAATTATACAACATATTGGAGGGGTGTTTTTTTTTTTGCTAGTTCGCAAGGAAAAGATTTAGCTAAATGGAAATCCAGTGGAGGGGACAGAAACTTAATTAAGTACTTGTATAATGCAGATATCGTTCAGGAAAAAAATTGGTTCCTTCAAAAAAAAAATTATGAGCAGATGATCTTCCAGAACTATGGATGAGTAAATGTAACACAATATTATGCCTTTACTTGTGGGTTGGGGTAGGAAATTTGTGCTCAATGTTCTGAAAGGACAGAATATTCTTAAAGGCCGACTTTCACTCCTGGTGTCATAAGAACCATTTGTTCCTGAGGTTATAGAAATAGAGAACTTAAAATGTATTGGTTCATTTCAGGAGAAAAGGGAACCATACCAGGAAGTACAGTAATTTTAGTTCTCATGTATAATATACAGATAGTTCTTGACTTACAACAGTTCATTTAGTGACCATTTGAAGTTACAACGGCACTGAAAAATGTGACTTCTGTTTTTCAGTTATGAAGCGATCAAAATTCAGACACTTGTCAACTGGTTCATGTTTATGGCCGTTGCTGTGTCCCAAGGTTATGTGACGAATGCTTTACTTAACAATAGAAATGTTGGGCTCAATTGTGGCCATTAAGTTGAGGACTACTTGTACTACTAGAGGTAAACAAATTGTCACGAATTCTGCAGTTAATACAAACATAATGCAACGAATTAAGTTAACAACAACAACAATGGCATGCACACAAAAGAGGGATAAGAAAGCACCCAGTAGCTAGGAAAGAGCCATTAAATCAACATTTTAAAAAGATAACATATAAAGGTGGAATAGTCAGGAAAGGGAAGAGATAAGGCAAGTTCTGATATAGCACAAAAACTTGTAGAAGTATAAAGTTGTAGGTTCCCCTCACACATATGTGCTAGTTGTTCCTGACTCTAGGGGGGGGTGCTCATCTCTGTTTCAAAGCCAAAGAGCCAGCGCTGTCCGAAGACGTCTCCGTGGTCATGTGGCTGGCATGACTAAACGCCGAAGAATGCACGGAACCCTGTTACCTTCCCACCAAAAGTGGTCCCCATTTTTCTATTTGCATTTTTTACATCCTTTCAAACTGCTGGGTTGGCAGAAGCCGGGACAAGTAATAGGAGCTCACTCCGTTACGCGGCGCTAGGGATTCATAACCGCTGACCTTTCTGTTTGACAAGCTCAGCGCCTCCCTGAACTATGGTGGTTTAGTGTTCCTTGAATTCAGAAACAGCAGCCAACAAGTTAGCATAAAATCCCAGTTTGCAAATCAGCATCAGCCCACAGCACCAACATCCAGCCATTAAACCTGCTTTCCTTTTACTTCTTAAACACAGATGGGAAAGGGGAATGGGGTTGTTTTCATATCTGCATATGGTTATACATCAAACTCAGAAGCTTGGAGGGAACGTTCCTTCACAAAGCACCCCAGATTACCGTGGGCAAAGGCGGTAATCAGACTGCATTCTGCTGGCACACAATACCAATGAAAAGCTTCTTGATGTGAGTAGTAAAACTAGATAATCCAATTACTAAACTTTCTCAGAGGAAAGAGAGCACAAGGCAGGCAGGCAGTCATTGCCCAGCAATAGGAAAGAGCAGATTTTTTTTACAAGCTGGCTACGTATTCACGGGGCTTTTGTTACTTGGAGCTAAAATGTAGATCCACATTCTCTTGCCAGGCAAAATTTAAGTGGAGTGAATTTTAAAATGTGTGAAGAGGGCTGCATCTGTTTTGCTGAGCCTTAAATCTAAAACTGCGATAAATGTCAGAAAAAAAGCACCAACAGTTCTCCCTCCCTCTTCCAAAGGGACACAGGGGAATCACTGTTCAGGATATGAAAACATAAAATAGAAAGCAAAAGATATTTACACAAAATGCTGTAAACAGTTGCATCTGAAAAATCCCGGAACTTTCTGAAATAATTGGCGAGTTTTGGTTTTTAATTAATTACCCCTTTTTTCTTAAAACTGCCGTAACAACATGCATAGCATAAGCATCTTTGAGTGATTTCCGAAGTAAAGCACAGCAAGATACTTCAAATATACACTATAAGTGAACATTATCATAAGGGGAAGACTAAAATAAACCCTTGGAAGATGTTACAGAACCTATTATAAAAACCAAAATCAAACAATAATAATAATAATAATAATTTGCAGCCATAATCTATATCACACCTATCTCCTTCCCCAAATAGTTCAAGGGCAAAATTGGAGATTGACAGATGTTACTGATGTATTTTTACAGCCATTCAGGAACACAGGAGGGTTGAATGCAAAAGAAAAGCAAGGCTTGGAAACCAACTACATTAGGAGTCTGAGATTGCACAAGATTTCCTGAGGCCGATGGGCACCACTCCTTCAACTATCCAAAACAAAACAAATTAGTCTGTAATTAGACTAGCCAATTTAGTCTCTACCTGAATTTCAACTTCAGGTCTAAAAAGGTCTCTCAGAAGTGCTTTCCCCCTCCCTCCCACCCCCAAAGAAGTAGTTTCGCAGCTTCTCTGATTCAACCACACCTTGGATCCTGGCTGAATTGATGGTTTCAGATGTATAGAGGCAGACTTGCTCTCCTTTCAGGATATAGAGATTTTTGTAAAGTAGGGACTTTTAATTAAGCAAAGCACATTTCATTTACTGTAGGAAGAGGTTCAAAAGGCAAGGCTTTTAGGATGTAAAGAGTGTGATCAATTTTGAACACAGCTTCCTAATAAGGTAAAGGTTCCCCTCACATGCATGTGCTAGTCGTTCCCAACTCTAGGGGGCAGTGCTCATTTCCATTTCAAAGCCGAAGAGCCAGCACTGTCCGAAGAAGTTGCCGTGGTCATGTGGCCGGCATGACTAAACGCCGAAGGTGCACGGAACCATGTTACCTTCCCACCAAAGGTGGTCCCTATTTTTCTACTTGCATTTTTTACGTGCTTTCAAACTGCTAGGTTGGCAGAAGCTGGGACAAGTAACGGGAGCTCACTCCATTATGTGGCATCAGGGGTTTGAAGCGCTGAACTGCTGACCTTTCTGATCAACAGGCTCTTAGCCACTGAGCCAACACGTCCCTCTACTTTTGTACATTACTGTCGTAAAGGAGGCACTTTTAATTAAGCAAAGCAAATTTCATTTACTGTAGGAAGAAGTTATGAAGGCAAGTCTTCTGGGATGTAGAGAAAGAGTCTAACCTGATGAAGTTGCTTCCAATTTTGTACACAGCTTCCTGTTATCTTAACATTCAATCAAAATAGCCAAATAATTCCACGTATTGGTGGACTACTCACTCTTTAGTTAGGAGAGGGCACGATTTTATTAGGAAGCGGGCTAAAGGTGTGTCTTGGTAGATGAGCTCAGGAGGAGCAGTTGGGCTCTTCAGATTCAGGCAACGGACTATAATGTAAAGAACAGCAGCGACAGCAGCCAATTTAACCCCATCAAACACTGCCGGCAGCTCAGGGGTTTCTATTAAGGAACTCATCTTGCTATCTGAAAAAGAAAGGGGAGAAAAAGTTTGGAAAACAAATATTAACCTGTCAAGTTAAAAAAAAAGCTTTCAAATCTAAGACGGCTCAAGGAAATTTCATACGGAACAGATCATCCAGTTCAGCATCAGAAGCCTGCCTACATAACTTAAAAAACTATTTGGATCTGATAACAAAGCAAGAAACTAGGAGACTGTGAGTTCTAATTCCACCTTATGTGTGAAAGCTGGCCGGGTGACTTTGGGCCAATCACCAGGAGACAGTGAGTTCTAGTTCTGCCTTAAGCATGAAAGCTATACCAGAGAGACTTTGAATCCCTAGTACAGGTCTCCTGCCTGAGCCGGGGGTTGGACACACGGCCTCCAAGGTCCCTTTCAACTCTGTTACTGTTTCCCGTCACTTTCTCTCTAAGTCCAGCCCTACTCCACAGGGCTTTTATTATGAGGAAAATAGGAAGAGGAAGGAGAATCAGGTATGTTCTCCACCTTGAGTTATTTAGTTAAAAAAATAATAAAGTGGAATAAAAATAAATGAATACTTTTTACTGCCACATTTTCAAAGGACAAAGTTTGTTTAATCTGACGGTACTACCCAAAATTCCACATTTCATTATGGATTAAGAGTGTGCAAGGTTTTTTATTTAAAAAAAAATATTACTCTGCTTGAAAAATCATTATAGGCTTCCTTAATGTATTTCAGTCACTTATCTGTGTACCAAGAAAAGAAACCTTATCTCAAAGACAAAATCAATTAATTGTGGTAAGATAAGCCCGGTTGAGAAGTTTAATGGGATCTGTGAAGATGACCTTGAAGGAACATGGGAAAGAGATGCTGCCTAGGAAACAATCAGACAAGAGAGGGTGGAGCCCCCAGTGGCTTATGGGTCAGACCAACGTAGGAAGGACCTGCCCTAACCGATTAAGCAGTTGAAAGAGCTGGCAGGAAATTTACGGCGTCAGACTCACAATAAAAGAGTATAAGTTCATCATTGTTACTTCCTCTCTGGTTTAGCTGGGAGGGTTGATATCAATTTTGCAAGCTTGAAAGTACAAACTTCCCATCACAGATTTTTAACTGCTGGATCCAATAGGGCGAGGCCTCCCTAAGTTTCTTTCTCTGACTCTTCCCCTCATTCTCCAAAGTCATCTACACATTCCATTACAAAAAGGTGCTAAATAAAATATAGCTGATCACTTGTAAAAGGTAGGAAATGGATCTATTCTGAGCAAATGTATTGCATCATCTTCCTTTTCTCTACTGGAGGGATTAATCACGCAGGCGGTGACTATGCACTGTACAGTACAATCCACATTTTTATCAATGCTCTTCAGTTTTTTTGGTACAATATCTAACTACACCTGTTTGATAGCATTGTAGGTTATCTGTTTTGTTTTATGACTCATAAAGTAAGCTATGTCTCATTTTAAAACTTGATAAGTTCCCCCCCCCAAAAAAAACTTACAGAAAAGTTGTATCCAGCGGGGGGGGGGGGGGGATGGAAGAAAGCAGTGGTGGATTAAATTTTTTTACTACCGGTTCTGTGAGCGTGGCTTGGTGGGCGTGGTATGGCTTGGTGGGCGTGGCAGCAGAAGGATACTGCAAAATCCCCACTCCCTCACTACCCAACTAACCTGCTTTCTAGCTCTGTTCTCCTGTGCAGGGCAACAGAAGAAGACCCAGCCGATCAGCTGGGACTCGGGAGGCAGAGAATAGATGGGGGAGGAGCCAGCCAGAGGTGGCATTTGCCAGTTCTCCAAACTATTCCAAATTTCCGCTACCGGTTTGCCAGAACCAGTCAGAACTGGTTGAATACCACCTCTGGAAGAAAGGATATTTCCCAAGGATATCAAGTCTGTCTTTAAATGTGCGATCTGAAATACATTCTCCAATTTTGTACTCCTACTTGATATAGTATTCCTGCCCAAATTTTAACCAGAAGACTATAAGCAAGTAGATGAAAGAAACACAGAGAGAACATTCCATTACTTCCTGATTTGTCTGGGTTGATCCTTTAGCAGGAACAATAGCTAGTTAATATAATACTGTAGGAAACAATGCATTCCAAGCATACAAAACCCACCTGCGTAGTATGACACTTATTCTTAAAAACAGGAAACTCCAGGCTGTCTAAGCAAGTATGAAGTCCAATTCAAAGTTAGCCTATAAAACAAAATCAGATTATATATCACTCTATTGGCAGCAGTAATACACACAAGAAACAAGTCACAACAAACCATAGGGTATCCTACTTAAAACAAAAGCTATCTGCTATTCTATTTTTGGTCCATTCCATACAAATCTGTTCGATAGGAGCCACTTCAACTGCATCTTCATCATTACTTATCCAGTGGGGGAAACATTGTGCATAAAATTTGTCTTCATATTACAAATCAATTGTATGATCGTTTGCACAAAAATGAAAACAAAAGTACATTCTCTTAGATAGGTGTTGATGATCATAGTTTCATTTATCTCCAAACCACTTGGAGATAGGCTGGAGGTAGCTAGCTAGATCAACAGACAGGTCTGTGTGTGTGTGTGTGTGTGTGTGTGTGTGTGTTGTATGAAGAACCTAGTGATAATCAACAATACTGTTTTCATAATGATCCTGAAAACATATTTGTACTAATGGGATAAACTCATAAATTGCTATTACTGATAATAAGCAAGGCAGTCATATATAAAAAGCTTATCTCAATGAACTAGGAAGCCATACAAAGTGAATTCTTTCTGTAATATGCTTCCATTATTTTATAATCATTATGGGTTTTTCTTTTTTTGAAATCCGAGGTGATGGGGAGAAGAAAAACAAGCACTGTTCACAAATTATTCAGATAATTTGCCCAACTGCTATTCTTTAAAGATTACGGTTTTCATCTTGAGCAATGATCCTTTCTGGGTATTGCAAATGACCCGAACCAAACATAAACAGGAAGGAAAGTCTAAAAGACAAGTTTAAAACAGAAATCCCTTCAGTAAATGTTAGGATTCTCTATAGTAGTCCTTCTACTGTCTTTTCCAAAGTGCTGTTTTAGCAATGCAACTGTACAGTGATATCCACAGCATAAAATGTGTGAATCTTTACTCCTTATGTTGGTGATAACATATTTTTCTGATATTAGGAAATGTAATGAACAAAAATAAAAAGCAATAGTGATACAATAAAATGTAACAGCAATAAAATAAACTAGTTTTTTTAAACAAAGGAAGAAAAAGAGCCATATAACATTAATGTACAAGTGGCTTATTTCTCAGACTATATGGGCTAACATCAACTATATTACCTAAAGCAGTAATATAGGTGCATTCATGACCAAAGCATATTTTATAGCAGCAGCCATCACAACAAGCTGCAACATCAAATGAAAACATGTGTTTTGTGCCATGACGACATACTATAATGATGCTTGACAGAGATATGCAACTTGCACATAATTTCCGTGATGACATCAACATGAACATATCACCATCTCCTCGTGTACACCCTGAACACTCATACAGGTGGTTCTCGACTTACAACAGTTCATTTAGTAACTATTTGAAGGTATAACGGAGGTTTTAGGTTTAGGTTTTAGGTTTTATTAGCATTTGTAGGCCGCCCTTTTCCCTGAGGGGACTCAGGGCGGCTCACAGAAAACCAGGGAGAGGGGAATACAACATTAAGACAACAACATATAATAAAATAGTAAGCAACATCCATTCATCATTCGGGCGGGGTAGCGATTCTTATCCCCAGGCCTGACGGGCGAGCCAGTTCTTCAAGGCAGTGCGGAAGGCCTGGACGGTGGGAGCTTGGGAACCCATTTTTGCTGATCGAGTGCTCGGGACATCACAGGTGCCCCTGACACAAGTGATGTCGAGGTGGTCACACCCTCCCTTACCACCACCTCGAGTTCAAACACAACTCTAATGCGGCCCTCAATTAAATCGATTTTGACAGTCCTCCTTTATAGACAGGCTCAAGCCCATTTTTACAACACTATTTTCAGGTTTATGGAACAGTTCTGAAAGGAAGTGAATTCATTTGCAAAATATTCATTCCTAACATTGTTATATAGCAATGATAGCAAGTTCTTCTTTTTTTGTTCTACTTTACATCACAGGAAGTTCAAATGCATTGTGTGCATGTTTTACATCTGTGTGTGTGCATGTGTGTGTGTATATAGTTAATGTACATGTGTACAGTAAATGTACAACTTAAATACAGTAAATTAGTCATAAAGTAAAACAGAAAATCTATAAAGCTTTTTAAAATTAACATGCCAATTTCTTCCCTCGAAAGAAACATGCAATCTATACTTTCAAAAGTAGAATTTAAAAAATATATTTCTGGACCTAGCTTTCTTAGTGCAAAGGAAAGACTTTGTTCTATTACTCACCATGACAAAAGCCAACCAAAAACCTTTTACAAATCTGTTGTCTCAATAAAAAACCCGTAGAGGTGTTAAAATTTATACCATATTCTTAAACTGTCTGAAGAGCAATAAAAGGGAATGTTTTCTGTCATTTCAGACCTGGGCCAAATTCCCCTATCTCATATAAATATAACAAACTTCCAATAAAATCTGAGAAATGTTTTTAAAATAGCATTGTTAGAGAGACATCAAAGATTTGTTATATGACCAAAGCAAGAAAAAGAGATTTAAAGCCATGACTTTTCAACAAAACTGGGTATCCTACACAAGAAATTTGTCGAAAGAAAATACACGTTGTTTTAAGTGCAAGAAAAGAATAAATGAATTGAAATTGCAGGTGGTTCACCAGAAAGTGTCAGAAAACAATGCCTACAGATGAAAAACAGAATAGACAATATCAAGAAATGGGGATATCAAGAAATATCAGGGAAATATTGCAATAGTTTGTGTTAAAAACAATTTGGAAGGTTCCAAAAAGTAAAATACTTGGCATCGAATTATTTCCTGACTTTCCCACAGCCCCTATCTTGGCATCTTAATTATTATTAAATGCAAGATAATGTGAGAATGTTGCAATTAAAAAGATAAAGGTTCCGAAGACGTCTCCGTGGCTTTGTGGCCGGCATGACTAAATGGCAAAGACACACGGAACGCTGTTACTTTCCCACCAAAGGTGGTTCCTATTTTTCTACTTGTATTTTTATATGCTTTCGAAACTGCTAGGTTGGCAGAAGCTGGGACAAGTAACGGGAGCTCACTCAGTTACGTGGCGCTAGGGATTCGAACCGTCAAACTGCCGCCCTTTCTGATCGACAGGCTCAGCGTCTTAGCCACCAAGCCACCGCGTCCCAATGTTATGATTATTGTTAGGTTAAAAAAAAAAAACACTGCCTACTATTTGTTTTAAAAGCCAGGAATCATAAATGCAACTCTGTGTCAATTGAAGAGGTAAAAACATGCCCTTGAACTGTAGTTCATTTTTCTATTCTGACAGCGATTCCAAGACATCATGATTCCAGGAACCATTATCGAGAAGAAATCAGGATTTATATCATGACATAAAACCAAGCTGTACAGCAGCAGTGATGTTCAATGTTAAGATGCCACAGGAATTCACTTACCCAATCCAATAGAACTATTAGATTGCTAACACAATTAACTGCAGAGGAGAACCAAAGAGTTTTTCTGTACCTGCAGGCAAGATGTATCTAGTGTAGGCCTCCTTGCACATTAATTGGACTAACACACTTTAGAAGCGTGATTGTGTAATCCCCCCCCTGGCAAACTACTTAACGTGACATTAAATAAGCCAAATAAATAGCGAAGACCCATAAAAAGCTATTAAAGATTAGACTGCAACACAGCTCAGCTACATGAGATGGGAATGATGTAAAAATCAAAAGATAAATAACTATTAAAGTGTTAAATATGGTTGAAAAGGGAATAACTGTCAAAGAATTCCTAAAGCAAAAAACTTGGGTGAAGCCACTTTTCAACTTTGGGACGATGGCCAAAACAACAGGGTGTAGACGCATTATTCTCTCCCCCGCCTTAACTCAAGACATAATAGGAACCATTAACAAACACAGATTTGGAAGTCTTTCAAAGGACATCAAACTCCATTTTGCTAAGGCAGATAACTTACTACTGCAGATTATTTGAACTTGCAACATTATTGTATTTTTATCCTATCTATTTATCTATCTAGGCAATGTACATACTTAAGAAATTAAAAAACGCTTGCTCCTGGGGAGGAAAGCTATGGCAAACCTAGACAGCATACTAAAAAGCAGAGATATCACCCTACCAACAAAAGTGCGTATAGTCAAGGCTATGGTTTTCCCAGTTGCAATGTATGGCTGTGAAAGTTGGACCATAAGAAAGATTGAGAACAAAGAATGAAGGCCTTTGAACTATGGTGCTGGAGAAGACTCCTGCAAGTACCTTGGACTGCAAGGCGATCCAATCGGTCAGTCCTAGAGGAGATC